TTTGTTGTTTTTAGGTCGACTATGTTGATTCCTCTAAGTGGCTATCAGTATTCTTTTGTGAAGCGGAAACCATCAAACCGGCTATTCCTAATAAGGAGGAAAGCAGAGGTTTCAAGGGATTCTGGAAAGAGGTAATAATGCGGTGGAGTTACTCTTGGAAAAAAATATTTTTTCTTTTAGTTTGTTTGGTTCATAAGTGCGGTCATCCGAGGCATGGCTCAGCTGACTTGGAACGACAACATATGTAATAGTGGCGTAATGGCCGTTTTTGGGCCTACTTTGAATCTTTTAGGGACGGGCCTTGGTATCTTGGCGGGTGCCTGTGTTGGTAACTGGTGTGTTGGTATATGTGCATTTATTGGATGTAAGTTAACAGGAAGGGAGGTATCTTAGGTTCTCCTTGGGTGGATACAGATTAGGTCCGATCAGTGTTGAAGGAATATATATTCGCTTTCCTCAGCTGAGCTTAGGAGTTTCCTCACTATAAAAGTTTACATACAAATTTTTGCAGAAATTCTCAATAGTTTTCCGAAATTTTTCTCAGAATTTTTGTTTTTCAGGTTGTTATACAACCGGTTTTCCTCTACTATTCGGACCACCTGAGTTGAAGCCTCTGGTGGGCTCCGGAATATACGGTTTGAATGGTACCCTTCTAGGCATGGCTATGGGCTGCTTCGATGCTAGGGCGTCTCAAGCGAGAGCATGTACGTATGGGGGTGTAGATGAACTCGGAGTAGTTTTTTCCTTTTCAGTTGACGATGTGATGCGAAGTTGCTGTCGACTTTTTTTGCCACTTAGTTTTATGGCGGTTTTCTGCGCTGTTGTTACTCAGTGGTTGAATACCAAATGGACCGCCAAAACTGGGATTCCCGCATGCTCCTGGCCGTAGGTAGTTTATCATTATTATGGTTGTCATTTCCTTGCACGCAGGTACAACATTTCCATGTGGACCTGGATCGCATGCGCAACTCTTACCACTAACTTCCGTAAGTGATGGTATATGTGAATTTGGTGAAATTTATGGTTTTTTTATCAGAAACTATTTATACAGCTAACCCAGTGTCGGCACCGCAATATGGACAAGTCACGGCTGAGTGGTTTTTCCGCAGCTGGATGACGGGAATTTCCCAAATGATGTTCAGTAGTGACGTTTTTTTCTCTTTTTTGTGCATATTTTTTACCCCAGGTTTGAACATGTGGTCTGGTTTTTGTCTGTTGGTGGGCGCATTTATTGGCTCCCCTTCGTCGTGTTTTCTCACTATATGGGGTTCCCTTATAGGAGTTGTTACTGGAGTGCTCCTAGGGATGCCCTTCAACTCGATAATTGGGCTTGGAGTGGTAATAAAATTTGGGGAATTTAAATGATGATGTTGTTGTTGATCAGATTGGTTTCAATCCGATCATTTACGCGACGGGAATGGGCGGCCAATTTGTGGCGCCGAGTTTGGTTGGCTTCATGTGGATGACCTTTGGTTGTGTATTGTGCGGAATCCTCGCGCAGTTGGCGACTAATCTTGCTGTAAGAAGTGGAGGGCGTGGGGATCGAACCTGGGTGCATCGGTGGTGATCAGGTTCTCCCATGGGGAGGCGGATCGTATTCGGTGCCATTCACAATGATGGTAACGTTTATGTTTGGTCTGTTCCAGGAGGATGTGGTGGCTAGGGTAAGTGGACCTGTTTTGAATCTTGTTGAGAGGAACCTAAGATATTTTTCAGGTTCCATTGATGCCAGCTCGGTTATGGAAAAATATAGAACGCGTGTGGGGAGCTAAAAGCCGAGCTGATCAGGCGTGTGGAATTCTTATGAGGATCTTGACTACTGGTGGTGAGAGGCAGTCGTATGTCAAGGATGAACAGCAACCGGAAGCGCCGTCAACAGCTGAGGATGTGAGTTGTCGAGGGAGTGGTATGGCGAATGTGTTGTTGTCGTCGTCAGAGTTTAACGGTGACGTCACCAAGTATGGAGTTTTCTGCTACTACTACTAGTATTCAGAGTAACTCGAGTAGTCTTAATACGACAGCTAACAACAATGGCAGCAAGGAGGCTCATGTGGAGGGAGCTGTGAGGAGAAGGTGGGAAGAAATGACGGCTGTGGGATTCGAACCTGGGTGCTTGGCTTGTAGACCGAGTGTGGTTCTTCGCTTAGCTGAAGAAGGACGTGTTGCTTCTGGGAATGCGCCCATTACTGAGTAAGTGGAACTGGCTCTTTATTTTATGTGATAGAATTAACAAGTGTGTGAGAAAATGTGCACATGGTCAACTACATGCGTTGGTGACAATATTGAAATTCCGATGAAACTTTGGGAGATGGTTTTCGGTAGATTTCTACCCGAATTCGTATGTAAACTCCTGAGCTCAGTTGAGGAAAGCAGACATATATTTCAACACTTGTGTGAATATTTATATTCTGCTCGTATTACTCTCGTGTGTGTCGAGAGTTTTTGATATGTTGTTTTCTCAGATGGTTTTATAAAATATAATTTGTATAATCGTTCATTTTGTTGTTTACGTTCTCCGTAATCTACGGTCATGCTAGGATCAGTATTTTTTACTATGCATCAAATGTTTCTATGTAAATATCATTTTTTTCGAGATTTTCGCGTATTTGTAAGTGGTTGAAACTGTTTCTGGTTGGGAAAAATAATTTCCGTGTACGCTCGAAACGACGCGAATGCATATTTATATTATGTATTAGTGCCAGTACTTGTTTATATATTTATAAATATCCCATTTTCAGATCGGATATCGTGGAGCTGTTGATCTGTGCTGGCGACATGGGAAGTCAGGTCGGGTTAACTGCCAACGACGGGCCGGAATCAGGCTGGAGGAAGGCTGTGTTGGAGACTGCTCTCAGGACTCACGGCTCTAGATTTACTAAGACTATGGATGAGCACTTACCTGTTGGGACTAAGTCATTGAGAGTGGCAGCTCGGGAAATAGCGGCTACGACGAGAGTGTGCAAGAGGGTGCATGAGGATGGAGGACGATGAGGATGATGAAGTTTATATAACCGTATTGGGCAGTAGTTTTATAGTAGTTGGTAGCACTCGGAGTAATTCGCTCCGCTATAATCGTCCTTCTCCTCTTCTTGTTAGTACTGCTGCTGCTGTAGTTGCACTAGTCTGGATGTTAGAAAACACTGTGTGCATCATCGTTCTTCCACGTGAGTTGTGGGATGATGTAATCATCATTATCGTACTTGTTGTTGTTGTTGTTGTTGAGTATTCTCTAAGAGAGTTCGCTCACTGATGGTGGTTTACTGCTAGGAAATGAGTGAATCCACTATCACCTATATTATATTTATTTTTTTACTGAACTTTATTTTCCTGTCGGCCTCGCCACTGGCCGTTCTGCTAAACTCAATCTTTGTAGAACTCGAGGGTTCTCACTGTAATTTATCGTCTTCTTAACTTTATCTATCTATCTGGTAGTCAGTAACGCAGTAGTAGTAGCTACATTATGTATCCAGTCATGTTGCCCTGTTTGGTTGGTTCTAGTGGGGGGAGGGGGCGCTTTAACAGTGAGGTACTCCTAGGCATCGCTTACCTAAAGGTTCTGCCTCGGCACCTGTGAATGCGTACCCTAATAAAGGTTGGTTGTATGGAGTCGAATTCACAAGTGAGTGTTGCTGAGCGAATACACGGAGTGATGATGATATGAATCGAGAGTGGTATGCCAAATGGACACCTCGAATTCGCTGCAGAAATTTGTATGTCAGTGAAAGTCCAACTTCGTCGCCGTAAGCTTGGTTATACTCGATGCTGATGTGTGAGCCACTTGATGAGCTCTTTGTTGCGTTAGTCAGTTGCCAGAAACATTTCCTTGAATTCGGTGTAGAAATTTGGGTTTGCGTAATCTTGGGTAATGATGAAAGCCTTGGGGAGCTGTTTTCTTGAGGGAAGCATACATTGGAGTTTCACCCGTGACATGAAAAACACTAGTGGGAAACATGTTGCATATCACCGCGAAAGTCGGGGTTTTTCATAGAGTATTTCGCCACTTCGTGTAAAACGGGTGAAACGCCGTTGTACATTGGAAGCATACACAGTTCAAGGTGAAGAAGGCCTTGGGTGTTGTGTTTGTATACGTCGATGTGATCGTGACATATAATTCGGTTAGTGGTGGCCAGTGGGGTTGATCGCAGTGATCGGAAATAGTATCCTACAACTTCACATGAGACAAATATCATCCGTTGACATTCCACCAGGCTGGAATGAGTTCCAAAGTCGCCTCCTTTTATATGCATCATGCTAGCAGTGGGAGTGTTAAAGGAATGCCTCAGCAGAGGGGAAACGTATGTGTTATCGCTGAAAAGTACTCTAAAAATGTCTTTAGGTGTGCATTTCCCATCGAGTTTCGACAGGAAAGCTTTTACCAGCAACATTCGCGGTTACCAGATTTGGGAAAATTTTCTTTTTCAGCCTGACACATAACACTGCGAGCAGTGTGAAGCATACATCAGTGCGTTCCACGATCACCATCGCAGCAATTAACTCTCAGTTGAACCATCCTTGATCCCAAACATAACAAGACGGACCATGGTCATCAATGATAACAGTTGGGTGACTCGAATGTACCCTCCTCATGCTTCTACTCCCATACTTCAAAATAGAGGTGCAGCCTCATAGCTGAGGTTGCGAAGTGTATTCTAAGTCCAACGCCGACAACACGGCTTAGTAAGACTACCATCGATGCGAATAACTCGACAGACGGGGAAACTAGAAGTACATGCTCTTCCCATCGAGAATGATGGTCTCGGGTGAGGGATGACCTATGCTAGGGTATTGACTTTTCAAGTCTCGGAGAAGATGCTCGTAGTCGTTACACTGTGGCAAGTGCTTGTGCCTCGTGTTCGTACACAGTCCCCGCAGTTGTGGGAGCGCATCATGAAAAGGAAGTATCTTGGCAGAGGTTATCTCACCCTGTGGACAGCACTCCTTGACGTTGTGAACGAGACAATTCAACAGGCTAAAACCGATCCCTTGTGAGCTAGCGATGCGAGTCTAACTAAGCCGTGTTGGCGGCGTTGGACTTCAAACTCACACGCCGTATCGAAGCAGATTTGGTTGCCAGAGGAATGCACAGGAAATTTTGGTCGGCTCACACCCCACTCTGACGTTTTGAGGTCAAATTGAGATGGCGCTCTTAATTCGATCGAATCCTCAGAGAAAGAACATTTCTCAACAACAAAGGGGAGGAATGTGTTCTGTCGTGCCAAGTTGACGGAAGAACGGTATGAACACAGTTATCTGCCCACGAAATCGAGGTTGTCTCAGTGAGTGACTCGGGAAACTCAAGGCCGCAGGAATCAGCGTTAAAAGCAGAAAATTGAGTTATCCCCCCAAAAAACATCAACCGTCCACGAACAAAAAAGAAAATCTGCGAACCTCAGAAGACGAAGCTCCTACAGAAAAAGTGCGGTTGTTATGATAAGTATATGCGATGGCAATAACGAGATGAAAACATGGTATCGGATGATGTGCTCCACATGGCGTGGGTATCGCCCATGTGAAAAGATGATAACGAACAAGAAGTACTCCATGTAACACTGTTAGCGTCCACATGCATACGGTAGCATGATTATTAGATGTCCAGCGAAAGCACAGCAGCAGAAGCAAAGCCGTGAGTCACGATACCCGTAAGGGAGCTTATTAAGGGGTAAGTAATCCTCTTACGGGAGGTAGTAAGAATGGTACAACAGAGTTATAACGGGAATTATAACAAATGACGATTTAGAACTTCATAATAGTAGTTGTTGAGAGCTTTTGACGCACCTCGTGCACCCAAGACGCTGGAGGTAAACTGAAAAGCTCTTCGAAGTTTGAAGCTGGAGCAGGATTATAAGAGATGTCGAGCGAGTAGGGCGTACTCGTGAGGGGAGAGCTGTCCACAGCAGTTTCACAACGGGATGATGACCCGAAACTGCTACATGTATATCCACTCGGATGACCTGAAAAGCAAATATGTGCTCGCGAATCTTGCAGCCGTTTAGTGTCCTTACCGTCCACCGTTGCATTCAAGTCGAAGGGGAGGAAGATGGTTGGTTCGAAAGCGGGCGCCTTGTGGCGAGCTGTGCTGCTTTTGACGTTCGATGAACGACCTTTGCTGCCTTTCGGCCCACCACGTGTTGGTTTTGAGATGATATGCGGGTTGGCCAGATGACGATGCTTATAGCAGTATCCGAGGAGGCCTCGGGCAGCGACATGGCAACCTTGATAGCGACAAGGTCTACCACCACCATGCCGAGTGCAGAATCTAATAGAGAGAAATCAACCAGGAAGGAGTAGAACACTATACCTGGCTTTCTCGTGAGAGGCGCCTTTTCTCGATAGTCTATGGCATCCAACAACCTCGCAAATAGCATGCCCGCGAGACCCTATTATAGAAATAACGTATGTTGATAAGCTGGATAGGACTCACTCCTCTGAGGACAAGACGACATAGCAGCAGCCAACGCTACAATGGGCTCCTGTCTTTGAAGGGGTGTTGCAACATTGTTGGCCTCTAGGGGGTTTTCAATGTTGGAAGGCTCGTCAATGTCCATGCAGGGGAAGAGGGAGATGGAAGACATTGAAAGTTCGAGTTCCGATCTACACGTAGGGTCTTGAATCAGCAATATGTCTCGTTACGGGGCTCCTCACGTCAGTGTCACGCCTTTTCGCCAGCGCCTATGCACGCATGCCCATGCTATGCGCATGCGTGTCACCATAACGGGCTCCTAGGCACGGAGTAGTACTCATAGAGTATTTCTCACTAACGGTTATTGACTAACCCCTTGAGATTGGCGAATCTTAAAGTTACAAACCTAACCAAACAAGCTTGAAAAGCTCCGTTTCACTGGTCCCTCAGCCTTAAGAGTAAGGGGACTGCCCTTAAGAATGATATTTAGTAAGAACTAAGCGATTCCTTAAGAACTCACGGGAAACTTGACAAGTTGTTCGTTAATTGCAACCCCAACCAAAGTAGGAAAAAACATAAGCTCTCCAGGAACCGTACTCACGGGAACTGCGGCGCGCGCTTATTGACTTCGGCGGAGCGTAGTGATGAAAGTTTTGGAATTTCGCGAGTTAAGGCCGCGGTAAGTTGTCGGGCTTTCCGTGGGTTAGTGTTACGTAAAGTCTCTCATTGTGATGGAAGACTATTCCCTCTGCATCCTGAGCTTATCGTTGACACTCCCAACATGTGGAGGGCGCCATCAACGGGTACTACCCTTGGCGAGACGTTACTAAAGGCGGATCTGTGGTATTCATTAATTCATTCCATCCTGTGGCAAGGTGAGAGTTATGCAATGCACATGTCTCTCCCTGGATTCTTGCCATTAATAGGTTAGGTTGTATTATATTATTCTGCAGAATTGGTCGGATGTCAGCCCTCCTCTCAACATCAGGACCTCATCGAAATACGTGGAGGGGTGACTCGGGAAGCCATGAACCATACAAAGACAAAAGCTCGCTAAGAGCATCGCAAGGGAGAGCCGTTCTTTATTATACTCCTTTCGA